ATTTGCATCTATAAGTTGCTCCTCTCCTTGTAAATCGATAACACTATTTAACTATATCGTTATATTACACTATCTTGCTTAATGGTTTACATGGAGTAATTCGACACGAAACTGGTATGGTTATGCACAAAGAAGGTAAGTCCCGATGCCAGTGCTGAGTTAATCATTTACTTAGAATTTTTGTCAAGATGTTCGGTAACGGACAATTGGCGCCGATACTTAGTTGCTATCAGCGTTTTTACGATTCGCAACACGACGTGCCGCGATCGTACGTCGTGTTGACGCGCTGAGTTACTCTGTATTTCTCAGTGTAGCAAGTGTTAGAAATGTGAAAAATCATTGAGTTTATAGTATGTAAATAAATTAGTCATTGCCTATTTTAGTAACATACTTCATTAATCTTAGGCAAATATAAAAAGTTTGCGATACTTGAGTTCCGAAGTGTATTTTATGATTTTGGTGTGTGAGGTTTCTCTCTCTCCCTCTTTTTCTCTCCTCTTCCTTCATTAACTTTAGTACCTTCGTAATATATACTATATACACCAAGTCTCTAGTTCGCTTCTACAGTTTAATCCCTAATTTTATTTCATTCAACTGCAAATACTTGTGAATAAAAGGATTAAGTAGTATAATATAGCCAATTATAATACTTAAATTTAATATTATCATATCTCTCGTAGAAATAACAGATCTTGTTATTATTGATGTAGGATTTAGATTTATAATTCCAATTTTGAGGATGATGAAATACTTGTGTATTCACATAAAACACGAGCCATAACTCGACGATATTCCTAAATTATGTTAATTTCTCTGCTTCTACCTTTATAGCATTGTGTATACTATGTATATATTCTTGTTGTTCTATGATAGAGAAATAAAAATATTGATAATTATTATTACATGTTTTAATCATAATTGGCTAATGTTTATAGTGCTGCGTATTTTCAAACTTATACTACTAAATAAAAAAGGTAAAGTATCATAAAAATGTTCAAAAAAAGTAAATGGCTGCACACTGTGCAACATTAAAATAATTCAATTCATTATTCGTTTACGGCGCTAATGTGTCATAAATGATGATAGATTCTTATCGGTACAGAATGTAACGCATATCCCTCGATAGATTCTATAAATTTGTAATATTGTTTACAGTAAAATCCGCTCATAAAATTTTATATATATGACTAAAGATCGGAAAACAGGAAGTCATAGAGAAACCCTTTGACGTTGCAGACGCATTGCCATTCTTCTAATTTTCTGTGTAGTCGCATCGTTTCATTGGAACGCTGTTGCCATAAAAAAAATAAAAAAAAAACACAGACGCGAGAGAGAGTGTTTTATTAGGCACATTTAACAATCCGATTGAATCGATTCTACTTTAATTCTTCAGCGTCTTATGACAGAATGGTGTTTCACGCTCCAAAGACATAGCAACTTGAATGTCTTCAACGTCAAGGATAACACAAAACATATAATACTGTTTGGAAATGAAACGATGTTTCATGATGTGATAAACTATCGAAAAGGCAGATCAACATAAGCACAATTGATTATTTTCGCTCGGATACACGTTTCCCTGTTATCGATAACAGAAATTCGAAACTAATAAACATAGATTATTGTGTCTAATGCCAACTTCTTTGTACAGTTGATCTGGTCCGTCTCTCCCATCTTTCGTTCTCTCTCTCTCTCTCCCTCTCTTTCTTCTCGCTCGCGAGGCGTTACGAGGACCCGATCTAGTTCTTCATTTTGGCACTCGGGAGTATTTGAATACGTATTAGCCGTCACAGATCACAGTTTCGGACTTCCCTCAACGGATCGTTAATAGCGCCACCTCCAAATGCGGAGGAGACGACGAAGACGAGCCTCCTCCTCCTCCTCCTCCTCTCTTTTTTTTCTCTCCTTCATCTTTTTTCCCTTTCCTCTCACCTGACGATGACCGTGCTCGTCGACCGGGACGGAGGAATCGCGTTTAAACGAATATTTCTTGGGTATCGGATTCGGAGTCGGAGTCCCAGAAGAAGAAACAAGAGTAAAACTCCTCGGTGACCACCGCCACTTGGTGGCTACGCTCACGAGGTCGTTATGGGTTGGCGCGATTGGCAGCTAGGGCGCCCGTGGCCGACAGTCACAGCTTGAGCTCGTTCGCGATTTTGCTGGCGATATTTTTAAAACCGATCGACGTGCCGGAGATACGCTTGAACCGCACCCCGTTCAGGGAAAGTCGAGGCAGCTTACAGACCTCGATCTCCCACTGCACTTGGCTGTCCGTCGCCGCCTCGCCGTGCGCGCACAGCAACAGGAACCGCTCGCGTTGCTCGTACTGGCATTTATTGGCGTCCAACACCTGAAAGAACAATCCGATAACACGTGCCCCACCTTCCATATAAATTTCTACACGATCTCGATCTCTCTCTCTCTCTCTCTTTCTTTCTCTCTCTCTCTCTCTCAAAGGCCGACTCTAATGTCGCCTTCGACATCACACAAATGCTAAAACATGCTTCTCTCTCTCTTTCGGTACCTTTCGGATTTCGGACATTATTTCGTTAGGATCTCGACTACTGGTAGTCTTCATACTCCACGTGAAGCGTAGACTGCGTGGCTTGACCTGTTCGTCGTTAGTGGTAGCTCCGCTGTAACAAAAAGATATCTTAAACCCGTTCAATCACCTGAAAGCGACAGCCAGCGGTACAGATCTCGCAATTACGAGTAAATTTAATAATGCGATGACGGTAAATCCAACCGCGATAAAAATCAGTTCAGTAGCGAAATTTTTATTGCTTGCGCATTTTTTCTTTCTTTTTTTTTTCCCATCTAAGTTTCGTCAAAGTGATGAATAATAAATTTCTCGCGGACATTGATTTGATTTATTATTATAACACTTTTGTGCATCATCAGTATGAAATTAAAAGTTGTACAAAATGTATCGAGTCATGTAAAACGTAGACCTTGTGCAGAATGTGATATGTTGTACATTAAAGCTTCAAAGCTTGCGGTTGTGCGGCGTAAAGGTAAATTTTTAACCCGCTTATAAAAAGAGACTCTACGATAGAACGTTGTGCTAAAATCCTTGCAAGCTGTCGGTAGATAACGTAAAATGAAAATTCATTCAGAATCAAGTCTTATATAGAGAATTATAACATACATGCATGACATGCAAATCATTTACGTCATAATTTTAATTACAAACTCAGTGCTGCATACATATATTTACACTTATATAGTAAATAAAAAAAAAAAAAAAAAACACTTAAAAATGAACTATACAAAAGTTACATGTGAATCATTGTAACCCTGAATATATATTGGGATACTATCGAATATTTCTTATTTAGGATATTTTCATTGTAATAAAACAATAAATAAAAGTTTTTTATATGATTAACGAAGCACGTAACTGATAAGAAAGTTAGAAAAACAAAAATGATGAAAATTAACTTGATACATGACGTGATATATACGAATAATATATAGTACTTTGCATTACTAATTACGCATAATGAGAATAATATTTCTTTCTAGAGATTTTTCTTCTTAAATCGCAAAATATATAATTGGAATATATCTTTTGTATTTGTATCTGAAATCTTAATATTTTTGATAAGCGTTATTAAACTACCACACGAAGATCGTAACTACGACACGTATACCAAACGTATACATCGTTACTGTTTAAATGAGTATAAGTACGCGTCACACGTTTTGTTAATGATCAACAAACAGAAAGTTGGATGTACGAAAAATCAAGGAATGAATGAGTGAAATTAGAATACGGATAGTGGTATTATGGTATGTAGCAACGTACCTCACTACTGGGTGCTTGGGGGGTACGGATGGGTCCATGGGGCTGAAATAACAAAACAAAGGCAGTTGCTAACAAACACTAAACATGATAAATTAATCAAATTGTCATATGTATAACAACCATCACCATCCTGTCACCATTGCACACTCATTATAACACAGAAAATTTACGATGCGATGAGCCTAGAGAATCTCTGACGGGAGCGGCGTATTATGATATTTTTGAGGCCACGCATAAGTATTTCTTATATAAAAATAAAATGAAAACGAAAAGGGGAATGTGTAATGTTGCGTGACATCGCATACACGGATACAAGCGTTTATTTATTGCTCGAAGGGAGACAGATGTGATTTTTCTGGGAAAATTAAATTATGCAAGTTACGATTACGTGGTTTCTAAAGTAATTTCTCTAATTTCTGATACGATGTATATCAAGGGAGAGATTTCCATTATGATCGTGTTGTGTAAAAATGTACAAAAAGAAACTCAAAATTCACACATAACACATTCCTAACGAGTTACATGCATCAATGAACGGTTGTAAGACGTGTTCTCGCACAGGCAGAAATTCGTTTTTTTACGTATACGAGGATTCAGAAATAAATTAATACAACATATACAAGACATTTTTGACATATTTATTAATGCGAAATTATTACTATTATTGCTCCTTAAAATTATTAAATAATATTTCTATCCTGTTTATATATTATAAGCTATTTACTGCCCTCCATAACGTAAAATCTAAATCAAGATTTCTAAATTAAGTTTTTTTAAATAATGGATTGACTATAATTAATTGAATATCCTAAGGATCCTCTCTGGATGCTTGGACGGGCACGTAATTGGAGTGCAGCAAAGAGCATAATCACTTAAAAACACGTTATATTTATATAATTTGCAAACAAATTTTTTTTTACCTCTTGCTCTGATATATTTAATATGAT